ACCCTAGACGTGAACAGGTTAAGATTGTAGTGATCGGGGAAGCATCCTCTTGGGAGTCGGTTCCACAAAGCAGTGGTTTGTGAGAAGTTGCTGCTTGAGTGTAACTTACATCTCATCAATGGAATACGAAGGGAATGAGGATGGTTCGCTATAATGTAGGTGGCATGGTGGGATTTAGCCGGAAAGGTTTTGAAATGGTGGAACTAAGGAATGTAGTTCACCTGAACACTTTCCATGGAAATAGTGATAGAGCAGTGAGAGGCTTGCGACATTTCGTCTGTGGGAAAGGGGCTGTAGGGTGGGAAATAATTCATCACCCAAAAGGACGCGGAGACGCTTTTTGACTCTGTTGAGAGTCGAAAGTAAAGACCGGGCAGTTCCTGTCTATATATGGGAACAGTATTCCATTTTCGGTCTGATCTGGCTCTTGTAAAGTTAGAGGCTAGCCTCTCCTATGAGTGTTAAACTCTCCACGTCCTCTTTCGTCATTAAGTATCCCAAGAATTTCAACTGCCTCTTTCTGGCTGCAATTCCTATTTTAACTTATACCTCTCCATTACTCGCTTGTTCTGTTCCTGGTATTTTAATATTGCTTCGATACAACTACATCTTTTCGCTTTAAGTCTCTTTTTCATATGTGAAAAGATTGTCTAGCCTTCATTGTTATATAGCAGATTTTATATTACATACCAGTTCAGATTTTATAAGGAAATTTTCCTGTCTCTTAATATATTGCCTAGTTTCTAGAAGGCCTATTTCGCTATATCTATAAGCCTTCGGATTTAAGTGACATATTTTTCGTCGTATGTTATTACCCTTCCCAGATAGTTAAATTTCTGTATCTGCTTAATTTTGACGTCTCCAATACGTAATTTGATGTTTGACCTGCCTCTTTTACTGACAACCATGCATTCTGCAGCTCTTTTCCTTGTTTTCTTGTCTTCTTAGTTGTGTCTCTTAGATCTTAGACTCTTTCATTTTCCTTTATTATTTGAATTGCCATTTTTCTTTTACTACTCAGACTACGTCATGTCTTTTCAGATCTTAGACGATTTTTCTTAGTTTTTTTCTTCTACAGATCTTCAGACGACGATCATGTCTCTCCACATTTTCTTTGCTTTATTATATTTAAATTGCCATTACCTCTTGAGATTACCTTACTACTCAGATTACATTTTTTCTTAGTCATGCCTTTTCAGATCTTAGACGATCATGGCTCTCCACATTTTCTTTGCTTCGTCATGTCTCTTCAGATCTTAGACGATCATGGCTCTCCACATTTTCTTTGCTTTATTATCTTTAAATTGCCATTACCTCTTGAGATTACCTTACTACTCAGATTACATTTTTTCTTAGTCATGTCTTTTCAGATCTTAGACGATCATGGCTCTCCACATTTTCTTTGCTTAGTCATGTCTCTTCAGATCTTAGACGATCATAGCTCTCCACATTTTCTTTGCTTTATTATCTGTGAATTGCCATTACCTCTTGAGATTACCTTACTACTCAGACTACGTTTCTTCTTAGTCACGTCTCTTCAGATCTTAGGCGATCACGGCTCTCCATATTTTCTTTGTGAATTGCCATTACCTCTTCAGAAAGATACTAGAGCAAAGATGCAGGTAAAATGGTCGGCTCCCTGTACCGCTTCCGCAAGTACCTAATTCCCCCTGCTATCCTCTATCTTTACAAGAGCCAGATCAGGCCGAAAATGGAGGACTGTTGCCATATTTGGCCGGGAGTTGTCCAGTCCTCACATTCCAGTGTCGATAGAGTTTAATAGTCCTTTTGGGGGACGAATTGTTCTCCATTCTCTAATCTCTAGGCGGGATGTGACGAGCTTCTCTCTGTTATGTCGCTACTTCTATGGGAAGTGCTTGGATGAACTTGGTTCCACCAGGCCTTAACCTTCACGGCTAGGACACGTCATGCCGCTTACATAGTAGTAAACCACTCACATCCCCTCCATATCATATCGGTGTGAAGTAAGTTTCGAACCGCAAACCACTGCTTCGTGGAATCGACTCCCAAGAGTATGTTTCCCCGATCATTACAATGTTAACCTGTTCAAGTTTAGAGTTAACTGTTATCTCTCCATTCTATCCGTATAAACTGCCCCTTAACATAACACTCTATATCGAATAGTCCCCGGGCTTTGAACAGAGTGAACCTTAGTGTAAAAAAAAGTTTTCCTGTTGCTTTCTCCACAGTCTGGAATTTAGAGTTTTAGACTGGTTGCAACTCAAGGTTATAGAACTCAGTCTACCTTGTTATTTAACACAGCTGGGTTGTCTACGATACTGAACTGTAATAAATCTCCATCACCGAGTTAATTATCATTGCTACTGCGTAAATTATATTATATATTTTTTACTACTTACTGCACGAATCTAAGATGAGTTATATTAATCATAGGAAAGAATTTTTTTCCACTAATGCTACTTGTGTTTTCACAGCGCTAAAAATATCAACAGATATTAAATCCTTTTACGTAGAGTCG